TCAAAAAAAAAAAAAAAAATCCATAAAAAAGAAAGACTGTCTGTTAAAACTTGTGAAGGAAAAAAATACAGTGAGAACAAAACATTGTCAAGGAAAAAAGAGTTAATATGTAACAATTCCTCCAGATAAAAATATTACTTTAATATTTTTAGTTTACACATTTTAATATTGTATATCAATTTCTTAACTGTAGCTTTTTATAATAATTTGGTAAATAAATCTGTGAAATTGTCAATGAATTTGTGGAACTTCAATTCACAACTCTTTTGAAAATCACATGTGAAAATAATTATAATAAAATATATTTTATGTTATCTCCAATGATGTATCATAACTGAATTGAGTTACGCATACAACATTCTCTTCGTAAACTATCACTAGCATAATTCTTGTAAAAAATAGATTACATGCTTATTGAATATGTTAAATCATTAATTTCAGTTATTTATATTCTCAACTTGCCTCATATATAACAAATATTTTTGCATGATTTGAAGTAGCACTTATTGTCTATTTTGTAGATTGCTATGACATTGCAATATCTCCATATATAAAAAAATAGTCTTTTTGAAATCTTACTTTATGTAGGTCAAATAAATATTATACATTTGCATAACTAATTAGTTATTATTTGATTATTTTAAATAAAGTAATCCAAAATTTATTATTTCTCAAAAATATCTAAATATATATTTAATCTCATTATAAAGTCTTTCTATGGAGAAAAAAATATATCTTGCTAATAAATTTACAAAAATGTTATGTAATGACTGGAAAAAGAATTGAAATTTTTGTTGATTAAATTTTTTTTTTATGTAATTTCATCTAAAATAAATAAAAGGATTTAATAAGTTTTGAAATTTAAAAGTAAGGGAAATATACCAATAGGGATCAAATCGAAAAAAAAAATTTAGCAAATAGGGGGAGTATGAAATTATGAAAAGGGTCTATGTGAAAAAGTTCCTTCAAAATGGGGTAAAACTGTAATTTTAGAAAAAAATGACACCTCAACATCTGAGGTGTCCAAGGGAACCAATCAAAGGGCTACACGCAGCAAAGTCACGTCACAACCTTGCAGTTACTCGTGAATGGATGGGATCTTGCCATGCAAGCATGAAATGGCAAATCAGATGGTGGAAAAAGGATCTTTAAAATTCAACGGTCTAGATCGTCTCATTCAAATCAATGGCCACGATTTAATTGTGGTCAATATTTAAAGATCCCTATGACAGATAATAAATGCAAAAAGGAGAGAAACATCAAACCTTAATCGAAATTTAGGGCTGACAGTGAACGTAAAGGCTAAAGAGTGACTTATGGAAGGATGAATGACTTCATCAATTCTTTCGAACACTGAAGTGAGGTAATCTTCTATTAGTGTGAGTTTTTAAATTTTGAACCCTAAACGAATAGACCCCCAGCATTTTAGGTTAGATGTCAAGGTAACCCAAATCTGTTTACTCAAATATGTGTAGCTACAGGTGGAGAAAGAAGATTCACACATAAACTGGTCTAGTTCATCTGAGATCTAGGGAAGGGTAAGAGTAATTTATACTTTAAATCCCTAGATTTATAAGAATGTAATGATTTTTTATTCCATAGTTGTGATTGTAACATTTTTGTGATGTCCCAAATACCTAATGGTCAAAGGGAATCAAACACTTAAGTAGTTATAAGTGTAAAACAAAAATTTTAACATTGAAGTGGAATTAAGAAATACCTTACAAATTTCTAAATTCAGTTCCTTATAACAAGGCCGCAAGATGGCAATTAAATACAAGGTAGGATCTTTACAGGAAACTTTATCAGAGTGCGGAGTAACTATTGCACTCGAATTATGTCCTTCAGTATTATCAAGAGTCTATAACTGGGTCCAACTGGACTTCAGGAGGGGACTCAGAGAACGAACCCTCAACTTTCTCAATACTTAGGGAGCATGGATTAGGGATGAGTTCCATGTAAACTTAGTAAGGGAAACAATATTTGACATCACACGACTAAGGTTTAAAGAGTAAGCAAATTGAATAAAACCTTTATACCTCTTACCTTAGGGTTTTGTTGCAGAATGGAATCATTTAATCATATAAAAAACTGTTGTCTTTACGAAAAATCAAATGTACAAGTATTCAACCATGACAAAGATATCATCTTAAGCAAATACATATTATTAAGTATACTTAAACGGATAGCATGCTGGATAAATAAAGGAGTTTAATAAAATGGCGATAAGAGGGATATCAGAAAATATAAAGATGCACCAAACAATAGGAATACCATCATACAAATCAAGGATGATGCTTCAAGCCATACTTAAATTTTATTTTGTCTTTTACTAACCTTCACATGAAGCCGTTGCAACATATATCCACTTAGAGCAGAAGGGAGACTACCGCTGTGAATCATTGACCCATCTCCGGGTCCTTATCATTTCCTCATCTAAACTATGATCTTAGACATCTATTGGCCATGGGGGTCTTACATTCACCTAACGCGTATCCTCTCTCGTCAGAAAGAACACTGATCATCACAGGGAGCGGTTCACCAACATTTATTCAGAGAAGGGAGAAATAGAAATTCCTTAGAGATAGTAGTTGAACAAATTTTTCTATTTTATTCTTTCCACTTGTTTATTTGATACATACAACCACTTTACATTCTTTTCATATGCATACTATATGTTCAATGCAATTGTATTTAGCTTATTAGGGGGTTCCATAACCCATCTAGTCGATAGTTCATATCCAGCCCAAAGTTCACGTGTTTAGCCTAAAGGCTCATCTCTTTCGGACTTGACCTTTGGGTCATTCTTTTGAACCAAGGTCCACTAGAATAACCCTCTTCACCATTGACCGATTGGACAAGGTTGTCTCATCAGTGAGAGAGTACTGCAGCACTACGCGTGTGCGCAAGCAACCATGATGCGCCCTGTGCGTGCGCAGGTTGCCTGCTGCATACAGTGCACCCGGGTTCACCCGCATGGGCTACAGCGCGCAACTGCGCCTAACGGGGTGTGGGTCACGGGTCGTGGACTGCGAGCCATGGGTCGTGAGCTGTTTATTTCCTTAGTGTATTTTCTCCTTAAATGGGTTAATTCAGATAAAATTTTGGAAAAACTAATTAAAATAAAAAGAGCTCGTAATTTCAACGAAAATTTCATATAGTAGTAGGCTTGAAATATCTTAATTTTTGAAATCTGTTAATTCCCAAAGTTGGGGTGTTACAATTTTGATATGAGATGATAAATGTTTATTCGATCTTAGTATATAAATATTTGAAATCAGTGATGATTTTTGTGTTTGCCGGCAAGATGGAATGCAATTTAGGGTTTCAGATATTCTAGAGTTTCAGGAGGAGGGAAGGAAGGAGGAGAATCGAGTTGGATCACTGGGTCAGATAGGCTAGTCGATAGGGCCAAGACCCAAGCCTTCGATAGCCCGTGCCTAATAAGAAAGATTTTACAATAAAAAGATCAAGATCCCTGATGGCTTTAGTTTTAAAAAGAAAGAAAAAAAAGGGAGATCAAAATATTTTGGTGGGCTGAGCCCATAAAAAAGGGTTAGGAAAATGACCTAAGTCCTTAATGGGTTGAACTATAAGAAGATAAAATAAAAAAAAAAGAAACCAAAGTCTCGAGTGGGCCTAGTAAAATAATAATAATAATAATAAAGAAGATGGATCTAAAGTTTGGGTGGGCCAAGCCCATAAACAAAAAAAACAAATAATATATATATAATAGTAGATAGTAAGGATCCAAAAGCTAGTGGGCGAGTCTATAGGGAAGATTGCAAAAGGACCCAAAACATGAAGAAAATGAATAATCTATAATGTAAATATACAAAAGGGTGATCCAGAGTATGGTGGGCTAAGCCTTATTGGGCCTCTAGCTCATGTAAAGGAGATACCATAAATCTACTAAATAAAAATAGAAAGGTTATAATAAGATAGAGTTTAATTGGGCTAAGATGAAATGGGCTTCAAATCGATGTAAGAAAAAGTGGATATTAAAGAATTGGTTTAAAAACTGTGTTAGTGGACTAAAGACGAATGGGCTAAAGTAAAATTTATTATTGGGCCGCTGGACAATAAAAATAATTAAAATAGGAATACCCTCCCAATAGAGAAGGGCAGATTAGTGAGCTGAAGGAAAGAAGGTTAGAATCAGAAGCCAACAATTCATGGAATTAATTTTCTTGGGTGTCTACGTGAATTTAGATATAGTATAGAAGTAGTTAAATAAGTACACCTAGTATACTAGGGATAAATAATAAATATAAATGGTAAAAAATAAAAGAAAATAAATGCACATTAATAGTGTGGGTGTCAAGGATTTATGGGAAATTTATCATAAGAA